AAATTTTATTCTGCAAGTCCCTGGACCCCTCAAATATCCTGGGAATAGAAACATGTACTAAAACATGTGTAGATGCATCATTGTAATTCTGGAAACATGTAATTATTAGTTACTTTGTAATTAGCTTTTAATATTTCTTATAAATTTTGAATAATTTTGAACCATTTTCAACACATTTAAACACAAAACCATGCATGAAACCGCCTGAAACCAGTGATCTTCTGTGCGCCACTAGTCTGGTCCTCATCGCCTTTCTCTGCGTCAGGCGTGCAAACACTCTGGATGCGCTGCGAGTAGGCCATCCACATGGCATGCCTGCTCTGACGCTCAGAGCTGCAATGGAACGTAGCTCTGGCTCTGGCTAGTTGGTGTTCCATCCAATTGTGTTTCCTCATAGGCTTCTTGCACCCGTACACTGCCGCATAGCTGATAATCTTCTCATCCACTCGCACTTTGCTGGCAAAGCTCTGCATTGCTGGCAGCAAGCCACGCATTCTTTTCAAGACATCTTTGTCGGTCTCTTTCTTGTTGGGCGAAAACTTCGCCAAGCCACTGTTCTCCAAGATGCCCCTCAGAGTTTGCGGTGTGTTTTTCTCATCCGGCTTGAGAATCTTTGATGGCGGCTCAAATTCAAGCTCATCATCAAAATCTGGATCTGGATCCGCTTCTGCTGCTCCATCTCCACTCAGACCAGAAGTTCCTCCAGAAGAAATCTTGTCCATGAGATCAGTAATTTGGCTTTGCAAGGCAGCATCAGTCTCCGTACTGGCAACGACCTCAACAAGATCATCTGGCTCTTTCTTGCCGTCGCCTTCTTCCTCCTCTTCCTCTTCATTTGCATCCGCATCCTCATCAAGGGGAAACTTCACAGGGACCCAGAAGGATTGAATATGTTACATGTTCTTGTCTGCGTATGTATTTGGTTCATAATTACATTGTTTGTGTGTGGAAAAACATTAAAAAAATTATTCCTTCGGGGGGTGGACCCCTGTACAGTGTCCAAGAAGTATTTATTGGTGCTATTGTTTTATAATGTTTTATTTTTTTCTATTATATATATATAGTATTTTGATTTGTTGATATATTATGGAAAATTATTCCAAGGGGCTAATGACAGCTTAACAGGTCTTGGAATAAAAAACAACAAGCAAACAAATACACATAACCATATGATGCAGGCATCATCGTCATCTTCCTCTGGTTCTGCATTCTGCTGGCCGCCAGCAACAACGATGTCCACCCCGTGCTCCTCCCACCAAGCAAGCAAAGCCTTTTTGATCTCGTGAGGATCCACTCCACGACTGCAAATACTTGCAAATGTGCAGGCTGTGTCCAAAGCAGATTCTGCAATCGCCCGGAAGTCCATCTCATGGAGCATCCTCTGCGTTGATGCCTGCCCAAGGTTGAAATTTTATGAACGTATATAATCGTATATATATAATACTGAGGAGTTAGGGCTGCTAATGTCATAGGAGTTAAGGCTGCTAGCTACGCTTCAACACCTCTGATGCATTTGAAGCAGTGACTCTTCCACTCTCTGTCTCTCTCTGTCTATCTCTCTCTCGCTCTCTCTTTCCAGGCGCGCGAGCCACTGGGTATGTTAATAGCTGCTAGCTGTTGGTAAACCAACAAGCGGTGCAAATTATGATGTGTGCTTTTCTCTACAGCACCCCAGCACAGTAGAATGAACTGCATCCCATAGCACCCATGTCATAGGACTTACATGGACTTACCATGCAGCATCCCTCGGCTTCAACTTGGAGAGTCCATATCTTCAAGGTAGTCTTCAAAGTCATCTCCATTCCGGACAGCACGGTTTCTGGCCATGGTCACTCTTGGTGTAGTCAGTGCTGCTCTAACTTCTGCACGCTTGTAACGTTTTTTCACTTTCACTTGCTTTTCCCTTTGCCCTCCAGGGCTAAACATGGTCCAGGGAGAATCAGAAGATGATGATGACTGTGGAGACATCAAACCAGGGCGGGGCAAAGAAGGAAGTGTTGGGGACGTACGTGCAGTCGCAGAACCATCCTCTTGAATCTTGGTCTTGGACGTTTTCCACCAGGAGATCAGCACAGCTGCGACCACACTTGCAAGGCATAGAAGCAGCAAAAACATGGCCCACATGAGCAAAGCAAAAGCTATGGCTAAAACAGATGCCTAATTTCATCTACTTCCCATGTCACTGGGTTCCAAAAAGTCAGAGTTGTGATGTTTTTTTGTGGGGGGGGAGGTTCATTGCTATGCGTCCTAAGTCTCATGTCACCTGGCTCCTAAAAGTGTTTTGGAGGATCCATTGCAAGGTTAATCAAGGTTACGTATGCATCCTAAGTCCCCCTTGAGCAACTGGGAGGTGAAAGTTTAAGCAGAGATATATAAACAGGCCGCGTCCACCGTTCCCAATGTGTTCTAATGTTTTCTAGCCCCCGATTCGTGCTCTTCTATAGAGCACAAGTCTTTGACATTCATGTCATCTACTGCTGTACTTGAATCCTGGCGCTGCCAGACATTGCTAAAGAGGTCCAAAGAAAGACAGTTCAGAAGATAAAGGTCAAATGCATTAAAATGCAATCAATTCAGGTATCTAAGGGTTTCCTACTTCCTAGCTTCACCACGAAGCTGCATTTCTTTGACTGCAGCTCAACTTCTGTTCAAAAATGTTAAACTTATTTCAAGTGTGGAGTTGCCCACAATCAGCACGTCAGAAATCGGGATTCACCGGCCGCA